TAATGTGATACACGATTTGTTTTTAAATTTCTGTAAACTAAATTATAATTATGTAATATTAATTTTTACATTATTTCAGTTTAAATAATTATATAAACATTTTTGTTTTTTTTTTTTATGTATATCTATATACCATTTAAAACTAAAATTGTTATTGCATCCGAAAATTGTTATTGATCATATGAGCGCATCCCAAAATTGTTATTGCAAATTGTTAAAAATTGCCAGCAATGAAAAAAAAATCATGTAGAACAAATAAAACAAATAAAAAATAAAAGAACCATATGTAAGTACAAAATCGAAGAATAAATGAATTAATAAAAAAATTTATTGACGATAAAATATAATAAACATCCAATTCGGAAAAAAATGACACGGAATAAATTTCTTACCAAATCAACAAATTATATATAATAAAAACCTAAGAAATGCAGGCGGCAACTATATCTCGATCCTTGCTAATATTGAGGAAAATTCCCGTTGTATTTGTTCAAATATGTCCTTACATGAATGACAATCTTCCAATGATGAGGTATTATATCCTTCCTCCCACTATTATATTCAACATCGTAGTTGCGAATACTTATACCTCGCCTTGTTTAAGGCGATCTCAAAATACGCTCATATGCTGCGAACGTAATATTCCTTTCATGTATGAACTCTACATATTTGAAACAATAAATAATACAAAAAAAAAATATTGAAAAATCAGTTGAAATTTGATATTAGATATTCATGTAATAATGTTAATGAAAAAACAGTTGAAAATAATTACCCCTTCATCATGAAACAGGATATGAAAAGCGTTTGGATGCTCCGGATCGTCATGAGTTTCCAGCAGTTGGACTATTCTCAACTTAGAAAATAGTTTGTTGGACCGACTCACGGCGTCAAGTGTACCCCGGAATGGTGCCATAAAATAATTTTTGTATTTTGTAATTTTTGTTTTCCTACTGCGCGTGTTGAGGAGGTGAAGAAAAAATGATCTCAGTGTGTACCTTTTATATAAATAGTATTTCTACATGTTATCTCTACGGAAAATATAGAACGATAATTATTATTAATATTAATATATAGATTAGGCTGATTCTTTGGCCACAGTTATTATTCTAAACGTGCGTAAAGATATTAGATAAGGCAATAGCTTAGTTTTCGGATTTAATTCCCATTTGTTACGAAAATAAAGCAAGGTTTTCAGATTAAATTACCATTTGTTACGAAAATAAAGCAATGATATTAAGGATTTAAATAAACTTTTTATCTAATCTTTTTTTTATGGGAGTAGAGATATTAGATAAGGCAATAGCTTGGTTTTCGGATTTTTATTCCAATTTGTTAGGAAAATAAAAGGATTAAAACTTTTCACAAATGGGAAGTCAACATTTTTTTTTTAAGAAAAGTTTCCTTAAATGAATTTTTTACCTTCCTCTTTCAATTATTATAGATTTCCACTAGCTGATCATGTGGAGTTTTTGTGGGTCGTGTTTTGAACTATTGAGTAAAAATAAAACAAAGAAAAATTCTACCTGTAGTGGAAGAAAAAATATAAGCATAAAATTGTAGGAGAAGAAGAAAAGAAGAGAGAGAGAGAGAGAGAGAGAGAGAGAGAGAGAGAGAGAGAGAGAGAAGACGAAGAGCGAGTAAAGTGCATATTTAATTTCAATTAAGGATTTTATTAGTATTTAATAAGTCAGAAAAAAAGGTAATAACAATTACATCTTATATGTTAGGTATAATTGAAATATTGTAGCTTGTTTAGGTAATTTATAAATAAGAATATAAGGAATATATAAATTTAATAAAAATTATAGGTTGATGGAAGGAGTGCAAATTCCTCTAATTAAAAATTGCTTTAATCAATATCTATATTTACTACTAGTTTATTTCCGGTTTGCCATGCTGGATTTTTACAATTATTCTAATTAAGAATTACATGACTACTATATATTTTGTAATTGTTCATATTTAACTGGAAGAATAGGGAACGAACCATATATGCATACCTTCTAAAAACTATTAGTGCACGTGAGGAGAAAATTTTTAAAATTGCCAATTTAATGAAACATGAGAGATTTTAGAATTCGAAGCAATATCAAATTTCGATTCTGCTGACAGATAAAATATGATTTTGAAAAGATTCAGAATTCGTGAAAAAAATTGTGAAATAAGTGTGTGTATATGTTTGTTTTCTCATCTATGGTAGTGAAACAATTAAAGTATTCCACTTAATTGGTACACCATTTACACTACAAGAAACAAGCTTAAGTGGAACAACTAAATGTCATGCCTATAACCTTTGAAATCGCTACTATTTGTTTACTGGGATGATATGTCGTTGCAAATAAGTCGTGCCAAATTGGTATATTGGCACGCTAAAGTCGTTACTATAAGTGCAAAAGTAATAGCCACGACATTTGTTGTGCCTATTCCATCTCAATTGATGTCATGTTCATATTATTTAAATAACGAGCATGTTGTGCCAATAATTGTCGTGGCTATTGTTGTAATATGAATTGAAACAATATGTTGTTACAATTCCTACGTGCCGATAAGTATTACACATCAAAACGTGTCGTTTCAAATGATGTTAATATACATATATGCATTCATCTTTTAGTGACAATTTTATTGTTGTAATGTATGACGAAGATTTAAATACAAAATATTTATATGTCAATTAAACTTGAATAAACAACATAAGCCAATCAAAATAATAGAGTAGACATGCTTCTGAATCAACATATACATATTAGATAGTCATTCCATCAACTTCACAACCAACTAATTTGTGTCAATGGTTCCCAATACACAAACAAAATACATGTCAAAAGTCTTGGGACCTAATCAAAACATTATGTTATACATAGAGTAAACCCCATATAAATTACTTGGTTCTCTCGCTTCAAAAAAATATACCAAAAGAGCCGAGACCAAGCAAAATGTTAAAATATATTAAAGTATCAAACTAACATTAGCATTGCCTACATTAACAATGCATGTTCTCATTCTCTTGATGAGTGAATTGAGCATCCGTCTCTTCTTCTTCATCAATATCAATCCCAACCTTAGCCTTTAGTCGTGCAAGCGTCTTTGACATTTTCTCAAACTTAAAAAAAATATCGTAAAACAAAGACATTCATTACAATTTT